ACTATATCTAAGTACTCTATATATAAGAGAAGAAGATAGATTTATTCTTCTACACTAGTAAAATAAAAACTTTTCAATTTACTCTTATCTTAATAAAGTTATTCAAGATATTCTTACTTTCTTTACTAATTGAGTTCATATAGAGTAAGGTTTAAATATTCTAAAAAATATGATTAGAGCTTAAACTTATAAACGTAGCCTTTGAAGAATTTATTAAATACTAGTTCTTAAGTATACTAATACTAATAAGTATAACTAGATAGTTAATACTATAGTATCTAAGAATGAATTATAAGATAAAGTTGATAATCTTTTAAAGCTCTCTATAGCTAGAGAGAAGATAGAAATTAAAAAAATAGATCTAGTGAGTAAAAATAATAAAATATAGAGAAGTCAAGTAGATGAAGAAAAATTACTATATCCATATAAGTATCTTTGCCCTTTATACTACTATAATTATTACTTTAATAAATTATATGATCTTTAAAAGTAAAATAATGATTTATAAATATAATTTTTAAATAAAAAATACTTTAGAGAAAACTAAGCTTTTTATAAACCGATAAAGGAATTTACTATATGATATATAAGAAGTTGAAGTAATTATAGAAAATAAATATAAAGAGTCTATATAGAGAGATAATCTACATTAGATTAAATTATATAAACTTTAGGAAGAGGTAGTAATAGAGGTTCTTAGCGCTAGGTAGTAGTAGAGGTTAGGTCGCATCTCTATAAGACTTAACCTAACTACTACCTCAAGTCTATATATTCTAACCTATACTACTATCTAGCGCTAAGAATCTCTACTACTATCTCTATCTAAGGTCTATATAATCTAACCTAACCTAGACTATACCTCTATATAGACTCTACCTATTTACTAGTCTAGTTTTTAATTTATAAAGTCTAAGTACTAAATACTATTTTCTCTTAGTTTATATTAAGTAACTTTACTCATTACGATTAAATAGAGAGAAAGAATAAAAAAAGAATCCTTCTATCTATTTTAAATTTATTTATTAGATTAGAGAAAATAGACTTTAATTATATTAATTAGTTTAGTAAACTAAGATAACTCTAAAGTAGACTAGAGAGGTATATAGCGTAATGGTTAGTAATAATAAGAATCTTCTATACTACTAGTATCTTTTATTTAGTCATACTATAATAGCTTATATCTTATTAGTATTAGATAACTACTCAAACTTAGACTATTTTTACTTAAAAAATCTATTATCTTCTTTATTTTAATAATTAGCTACCTAAGCTTTAATAGCTTTCTACTTCTTATCTATAAGGTAGTTCCTAGTACTATTGAAATTCTTTTCATCTTTATTCTCTAATTTTTTCTTATACTTATTACTAGTATCATCTTTAAATTATATCTTATTATTAACTAGCACTATATTAGAGTTAAACTAAGTCTAAGTTAGTATGTAGTTATACTCTTAAGTACTACCACTAATCAAATACAATAGGTAGTTATATCAACTTACTTTTTTTAAGATTTCGAAACTACAGCTAACTATTCTAGAGAAAAACTATTAATAAAAGTCTACTACTCATTCTTCCCGTTTTTATCTTTAATTCATTTATTTTAAAGCTTATATAATCTACTCTAATATTAGTTATAAAAAAGCATCTTAAATTTACTACTAATAGTAATTAGGTAAGTAGAAGAATACTACTAATAAAGATAAGATAAAGAGCCCTAATAAGCTTCTTAAGTATAGTAAAGTATATTCTTATTCATTCTTTTATTTATTTTATTTTAGAATTTTGACTATATCTTATAGGCTATCGTAAAGGCATATTCTAGCTATTTAGCTAACTCTTATAAGTATATACTTATAATAAATACTTATTATAACTAACTACTACGCTTTTAAAGGAATTATTAATCAAAAAACTGCTCTTTTATATTAGCTAGAAACTACTTTTTTATAATTTTGTTACATAGGGTCTAGAGTACTAATGCTTCTCTAGCTCGATCCAGGTTAGAGCGAGTAGGACTAGGATTAGCGCCATAAGAGTTTCCTAGCGATTCTTAATAGAAAAGAGTTATAGATATAACTAAGTATTTAATAATACTAATCTATTTAATAGACTCATATATAACTATCTTATTAAGTAAAGACACTAGTAAGAAAGTATAATTTAAGTTTACTATAACAAAAGTAATAATAAAATCTATCTATTCTTATATTCTTATTACTTCTAGTTCTAGCCTTATAGTTCTTATAAAAAAATCTCTATATCTTCTAAAGTCTATAAAGATATCTAGTTATATATAAGAGTAGCCTTATATACTAACGTAGAATACTTAGTCTTAGCGTGAAGCTAATTACGTAGTTGTCGCCCCGCGATAATTATTACCTTACAACGTGGACGTCTATAGGCCTTTAGCCATCTTATTATTTATTAAGGACAGAATCCTTCTTATTACTTATAATAAATTTCTAGAAGACTATTATAGTTCTTAGATATATTTATCTTCTTATATAGATAGTATTTTACGCTATAGTCTAAATTCTTAGCTTTCTTAAGAACGTTATTCTCTTAGCTTTATATAGTAGTATAATCTCTCTAAGTAATAGCTTATAAACTACTACTTAGTTAGCTTGTAAAACATATACTAAGACTAATAATATACTCATTTCAAAAGCTAAATATATAATATTAAGTAATAATATTATTAATATTATTATCTTCTTTATAATAAAATTTTGACTTTAGTTAGTAGCTACTATTATAATAGAATATATTAAATATCTTAGTAAGTACTTTCTTCTTCTTCTACGTGAAGCCTATTAGAATTTGAATAGAGTATAGTATAGCTAATCTCTTTAGTATATTTCTTATTTAATAAATTTAACTTTATATCTTATATAGCTAGCTATAATAAGCGTACGTAAAAAGTATAAAAAAAGTAATCTAACTTCTTTTAAAATATTAAGTTGTAATTTAGTAGATTTAGTAATAAATATATAATTTTAGATAATCTTTATAAAAGTGTAAATCTATTAGTACTATAACTAGTATTATAGCTAGCGCTAAGCTTAACTTCATTATTTTCTAATTTAAAAATATATAAAATTTTATGATAAAGTATTACTTCAAAGCGCTTCTAAAGCTCTACTTACTATTAAATTATAATAGTTTTTTATAGTAGATTTCTCAAAAATAATTCAAGCTAAAACATATATTACTATCATATAGTAGTATAGATTTTGACTTATACTAAGCTAGTAGTTTTAGAGCTACTATAAGATCTTGGTATTAGAAATTTGATAAGATCTACTAAATATATCTTTATGTAGTTAGTATATATAAAAATAGTTTTATAGCCTCTCTCCATTAGTATATTATTATAATTACTTATAATAGATTTAGTATTTAATTTAGATTTCTAGTATCTTTGTTTTACTAGACTCTTGTTTTTTTTCTTATCTACTATCTAGAGCTTAGACTATCTTTTATATTATATAATAAATTATATAGTAATCTAACAATCTTATTAATATTAGTAGCTAGCTTTACTAGTCTAGTACTATATTACCTATATACTATTTATAATTTTTTAGCTCTATAATATAATATATTCTAAGGAGACTATTTATAAGGCCACTAAGAATACTCTAGTAAAGAAGAACCTAACTATAAAGTATATCTTTAAATCTTTAATAGTATCTACTTCTAAAAAGCGTAGATAGAATTAAAAAATAAAGTTATAATAGTATTGTATTATAGCTATAATCTAATAGATAATAATTATTATAATAGAAGGAATTTATCAGTAGTAAACTAGTAATAACTCATTAATACGAAATCTACTCTTCTTATATCTTATTTAAAAGATTATAGATATAGTTAGAATAGAACTATAGTATTTAAAATAGACTATTAACACGCTATAAGAGATATATAAACTATTTCTTATTATCCACTTTAAAAGAAATAATTATTAATCTTTATTTTAGTATAAGATACTCCAATTTTAGTAGACTATAATTAAAATACTATTTATACTAAGTAGATTGCTATTAAGATAAAGAATTATAAGCTTACTCGATACTAAATTAATAAGTATTATAGTAATAAGTAGTATTTCTATATCTCTAAGTAAAGAATAGTTCTTCTATAGATTACTCTTTTAATGTAATAGTCTATTCTTTCTATAATATATATATATAATAACTATAGTAACTATAAAGATATTAAAATATAATTTACTAACTTAAGCTATAGACTCTAAATTTATCTATATAATCGTAATCTAATCCTAATATAAACTCTTAGTATAATAATTGGGTTATATTAGAGTAAGATTACTAAGCGTTTAGGTTTAGGTTAGATCCGGTCTAATATAATTATTACCCTAACCTAACCTAAACCTAAACACTTAGCAACCTAACTCTAACATACCCCCCATCGCTTTCCCAGCCTAGCTAAGAGAGCTAAAGTAGTCTAGTAGAAAGAAATATTATAGTAAGGATAGTAGTAGTAAGTGGCTAGCTAGTAGTTTAGGCCTAATTAAGTAGGCTCTAATAAAGCATTAAATAATTTTTAAGAGTTTAGAGATATCGTTTTAAAAGAATTAGAACTATATATCTCTATATATAAAATTAAGTCGTATATAAAAATTATATAAGATTTAAAAAGATAGATTCATAAAAATTAAGAAAAGATTGAGATAACTAGGTAGATTATTTATAGGACTATATATATAAATAAAGATATAAGAGATTCTGAATCATGATTTAGTATATTATAAGAAAAGGCTAAAGAGATATAAGATCTATAGTCTATTATAAATCTTATAGCTACTAGCTAGACTATAGAAAAGCGTGATAATAGACTTAATAGTAAAGCTTATAAGATTATTCAAGCTAGAACTAGCTTGATTATATAACATAATTCTTATAATTATAGATTTATTAACTAAAGTGCTACAGTTAATATCTATAGAACAGATTTTTATCGTATATAAAAATACATATAAAGCTATCACAGTACTAGTATTAAAGTATAGAATATTTCAAAAGTTTATTCTTAATTTCAATAAGCTATTCATACCTAAATATTATAATATATTTCTAGTAAACTTAGATATTAAGAAGAAGCTTTTAATAAGCTTTTACCTAGAAATACATAAATAGATAAAAAAAATAAATCAAATATTAAAATGGTACTTATAAATATGTACTAATAGAGTATAAAATAATTAAAAAGAGTTACTAACGGGTTTTGTAAGCGAGTTAGTTACCTAAGCGAGTTAGTTAGTTCAAACCCTACTTCAAATCACGATTAACAGAGATCTATATCTCCAGAAATTACTAATAGAAATTTTAGATATTTTAATCTTAGATTCTGATAGTTTAAGTAAATAAATCTATAAAGATTAGAAGATATCATTATTAAGTAGTTCTGAAGATACTAACTTAAGTAAGTTCAAAATAGAAAATTTTCAATAGTGATTGAATTACTAAAGATAACGCTCTAGCGATTAAAATTATTTCTTAAGAGTTAGGTATAACGTGGTTCACAAGCGAGCTGATCACCCAAGCGAGCTGATCACTTCCCACCAGCGCGTCAACGTCGATACTACAACGCGTTATGTCTCAACAACGTCAACATCTATTAACTTATCCTAAATCAGATCTTCAACTTGCTCT